AGTGTGGTGTTACACGCCTGTACTGTCAGCTACTAGGGAGTATGACATGGCACAATCGCTCATGCCCAGGAGTTCCAGGCTACAGTGAGCCATGTTAACGTCACTGCACTCCAGCCTGGGTGGCACAGTGAGATCTTGTCTCAAAAATAAGCAGTATTAATATAAAACTAACAGTAATACGCTTATGGGCTGAGTTGTGTCCGTTCAAAATTCATATGGTAAAGGCTTAACCCCTACTGTCTCAGACTCTAACTGTATTTGAAATAGGTGGGATCTTTAAAGAGGTAATTAAGTGAAATGGGGTCATTAGAGTGGGCCCTAAGGCAATTTGCCTAGTGCCCTTATAGGAAGAGGAAATGAGGACACACACATATACAGAGGGTGGACTAAAGCTGACACAGGGAGAAAATAGCTGACTACAAGTCAAAGCGGGAGGCCTTAGAAGAAACCAAATCTGCTAACACCTTGATCTCAGACATGTAGCCTCCAGAATTGTGAGAAAATACATGTCTGTTGTTTAAGCCACCCAGTCGTTGGTAGTTTTTGATGGCAGCCTTAACAAATGAATAGAAATACTTCTAGCGCTCCTGAGGAGGCGAGGATTATCATATCCATTTTATGTGCTAGTACTCCTGCTCCTCTTACTAATACAATGACCGCACAATGATGCCTGTATCTGAGAAATTGAGTGGTACTGAGAAAACTTCAAAACCTGAAGTATGGTAGCTTAAGTCCACGAACAGTGCAAGAGAATTGATTCTCACTTTCTCTCTCATCCTATTTCCACTACTACAATACTCTCACACAATGCTAGGGACCCTCCTCCATTTGAATGATCTCCCTTAATGATTCGTTTAGAAGACAGAAGAAATAAGCTGGGAACTCTCAGAGCTTCCCAAACCCAGTCTATCCATACCTGCCCTGGCATTCTCTGATGCCCTTCTCTGCATACAATGCTCCTAACTGAAGCCAGTCCCTCACCTCAGTTCAGGATCCCATGACTCCCACCTTCTCAGGGGCTTTGCTTCTGCAATGATCACTCCCGCTCCTGAACTATCAATGGCTCCTTCTATATTGGATCATTCCCGAAGCTAAGGGGGAACTCACCTTCTTCCCCCATACACTTCTATAGCCACTAACGTATTTATCTGCTGCACTTCAAAACAAAATTGCATGAACTTATACAACCAAATTCATTGTAGTCAATTTGCAGAATTATATGGAAAGGAAAATGAACCAGAACAGCCAGAACAATTCTGAACTATAAATTTGGGGAGCTCACACTACCTAACATCAAGAGTCAACATTAATTATATAGTAATGGAGAATATGGTATTGGGGAAAAATTATCAACAGATCAGAATGGAATCCAGCAATAATCTCACTGACATGATAAATTGATTTTTCAGAAAAGGCGAAAAGCCAGTGGAGAAGGATTATCTTTTCGAGAAATTATGTTGTTTTCCTCCTGCCTCTTGGCCGCTATATTTTTTTTTATTCCCCTAGGCCCCTTTCCTATATTTCTCCTTTGCACTTCAACTGCTCTTCTGTTTAAGGGTCTGTCTGCCCCACCACAGTGTGACAGCCCTCACAGCAAGTACCACATGTTGTTGGTTGGTCTTCTCATTTCCAGCATCCCAGGTATTTCCTGTAACATGGCAGACATCAATGCATGTCTACTGAATTAATCAATCTTTTGTAATGACCCTAATAGAAAAGCATCTCCTCTGTTTGGGAGTCATTATTGGAGATGATATGTTTCTAGACACCAAACATATGGTCTTTGGTTTTGTCCCAAATGCTCTAGGGTAATGGCTCTGCCATGGTGCCCTGGAGGTCTTGCAGGTAACCACACAGGTCACGTAGGCGAAGCTAGACTGCTGGTTAACCTGAGTCTTAGTACAATACCTTGAATCTCTTTGGAGCAAGAGGAGATAAGCAGCATGGTGGGAGCTGCCACAGATATTTTCTCACCAGCTCCCTATCTTGTTGGAGGCTGACACAAGGCCATTCTTCATCCATCTCCCTAGCATCACTTAAGCACAGGCCTTTCCACATCTTAGGGTACAGCTGTGGGGTATAAAACTGCTCAATACATCAGGGTAAGTGTGTGGCCTCCTCACAGGCAGAAAGACCCATCATTTTTGCTGTCATTCAGTGTTATCCTGTAGGACTAGCCACACGTTGCTGTCACAATGCCGATCTTGCTTTTGCTGTGTCTGCAAGCAATCAACCACTTGGATCCATTTAGGCTCATTGTTTTTACAGGCCAAATCTATGGATATGTGACAAGTCAAACTAACAATTGCAGTGGTCATCCCTGTGGCCCTGTTAGCCCCCACAGGGCTGCTTAGGGACTGCTTGAGCACTTGACACACTATGGTATTGAGTTGCGTGGTGTTGGCTGACCAGAATATTAACTTATTCATCATGGCATCACACATAGCAAAACACACAGTGTTAGGCACATATTGCTAACTTAGGGTTGGCCTTGTCAGACTGTGGTTACTTATGAACCATCTTTAGAACTGATGCCATGTCTGACACCAGATACACTGCTATTTTACCAGTATATTTATTTTAAAGAAATCAGTTTCTGATCTCAAACTCATTTAAAAATGTAACTTGATATCCCTACTTAAAATTCAAAAGGAGTTATCACTTACCAGAGATGTAATTGTAAAGGCAAATGGAATGAACAAAATTGAATTTTTTTTATTATACTTTAAGTTCTAGGGTACATGTGCACAACGTGCAGGTTTGTTACATATGTATACATATACCTAATGTAAATGACGAGTTAATGGGTGCAGCACACCAACATGGCACATGTATACAAAATTGAAATTTTAAGGAAAAAAAAGAACTATAACTAGTAACCCAAATTTATCTATAATACAATGTTGAGTTCATATATGTTATCTCATGAATTCTCCATAGCAATCATTTACTGTAAATATTCTAATTTCTACTTTAGAAATGGGAAACAACCTCACAGGATATAAGTACCTTATCTACCATCTCAAGGCCTATATGTCAGAGCCATGATGGAAACCCATGGTTATTTTGTGCCATAAGGAGACAGCGTAGCTAGGACCCAAGTAATTTTGCTTTAACAAGTTGTGGTGGTTGCTTTCCCCTTTCTTCTACCTAGGGCCTAATTCTTCATCTGACTCTATAGCCTAGGGACTTCTCACATATTCCGTGGCAAATGGGATCCCCTACATTTAGTCCCACTTTTTATTTGAACCCTAGCTTTTCAGTCCTGTTGGATCCAAAAATATTTTAAAATCTTTGTAATAGGGAGAAATAATTGCTGTGTATATTCTCCTACCCCTCCCTAAGCAGTGTGGATTCTGAGTAGGGCCCATTGTTGGAGAATTATCCTTTTGGGTGCGAGGTTATAAATGGAGCTCAGGGTTGTTATTCGTGTATTATGTATAAGAAGAGGGGTATCAGGCTGGATCGAGGCGGCTGCAGGGGTTTCTGATTGAGATGTGGTAACTATCAGGCTCAGATGAAAAAGAAAGGTTTGGTGTTTCTCCCTCTCTGCCTTGTATCATTTAAAGAAAGGATGTGTTTGCAGGAGATGTTGTGGCATTTTTCCATGGGAACTGAGACATCAGTTCTTTTCTCCGTGTTCTCACAAACTATTCCAAACGAATTTAGTATTCTTGTTACATTTTTTCTGTTGCACAGTAAAACAGGTATGTCATTATTACTTTTTAAAATGCTTTCATAACAATGATTTCATCTGGGAACCCGTATTAGGTTTATGTGCCATATTTTGGCAAATACTTCAAGAGAACAGCAAACACTTTTATGTTAAACAATAAAATATACGTATTTTATATATTACCATGGATTTACATAAAAACATCAGATTACCACTAAAATCAACATACACAACACCAGTTCTGCATTCAACACTTTCACAAGCATTTACTTTCAGGAAACACAAAGACTGTGAACTTAGACCTTGAATCCCCATATCTGTTTCTTACTAGAGTCATTTATTGTAAATTTTATGAAAACTCTGACTCACCTTTTTAGTGGATTTAATAATGAGGTCAGAAATAATGAAACACAGCTCAGATAACTGGTTAACAGATATAAGACAATCTATAAATATGAGTTATTATTTCTGTTATTCTTAAAGAACTCAATAAATGCAGCTATTGTCCTAACGATTCACAGCTTTGGTGTAGTCAATCCATTCAAAAACACACACCACAGATCAAAATCAGGTAGGCAGGCCAGGCATGGTGGCTGTCACCTGTAATCCCAGGACTTTTGGAGGATGAGGAGGGAGAATCACTTGAGTCCAAGAGTTCAAGATCAGCCTGGGCAACTTAGCAAGAATGTATCTCTGAAAAACTTATGTAAGCAAATTGGCAACTTTTAACTTGCTGTGTACAGAGGTTAATGTCAGTACAGAAACAGGAGCAGGTAGTTTTCAGAGTGACGGCATAATTAGAGGCATCTTTGTAGGGAAGAGAGGCGCCTTACAAAGTTTAAAGGCATGGAAGCCTGGAGTTGCCCCTTCTGTCTTTCTTTTAAGTAGTGTCCAAAACTAAAAAAAAAAAAAAAAAAAAAAAGCATGCAATCTGGAAACAAACACACATGGGAAATCCTATCTCCAAGTGATTCACTCTTGCAGGGATTTCATAGAAAGAGGTTTTATATACCAAATCATTTCATGAAGCTAGTGTAACCTTGATACCAAAGTCCAACAAAAAGAATACAGATGGCACCCACTTATGATGCAGCTTCTTGGTTATACTCAGAAGAAAATGCTTTAATATTTGATGATTCAATATAGCTTGGACCCAATTTGTGTCTCCATCTGGTAGTGTTTAAGTCTTGCAGTCAGGCATCTGGGGTCTGAACTACTTTTCAAAGTAAGTCTGCATTTGAACTCTGCTTTCTGTTTTTAAAGGAGTAGTAATGTTCTCTCTTTGTATTATGAAAATTATAATATTATGGAAAACAGAAAGCACCTAATTTTGCATCTTAATGGATAGCATATCACTTTCTGGCATTTTAAATTGATATGATTTTTGCAGAATCTTCCCCTGGACATCAGTACCATCTCCCCATTCATCCCCCGTCTTTGACTGAGACAGATCCTTGAGATCAGCTTCCAGGTCAGGCACTAAAAAATACAAAGGGTATCAATTGAAGCAGGCAAACAAGAATGATAAACAAGGAAATTATCACATTGTTTTTCCTCAGTGTTAGGAAATAAAATCCTGTAGGCTACTGTGGTAATAAATGTGATGCAAAGATGTCCTGCCTTTGTTTTCCTCTATTATGAAATCTTATTTTAAATGACAATCTGAGGGTAAATCACACTACACCTCAATTTCCTATGCTTTACCATTGTGTATTGTAAACAGTATCAGGTATCTAGGAAATCTGAAGCCTGCTGCATGGATAGCATTTTAATCATAAATTAAATGTAACTTTCTGAAGGATTAGATCAATGTAGTGGCAGATTTATGACAAATCTTATAGTCCTGACATCCATCCCCTGTTCAAGTAACTTGAAAATTTGGGGGTAAAAATAAATGAAAGTTATGCTCAGGTCCAAAGGCCTATATATAACTTTCTATAAAAGAATCCCATTAAGAAAAAAGTACCAAATATAACAGCAAAATCTTCAGTGAGAGTATGGGAACCTGAGCGCAAAGAAATTAATGGGCATTGTTGACAGTCATATTCTGGAAACTTCTTAAGAGTGAATTGCTAAAATGGCCCAAATTCGGTCAGTATTTAGCTTGAAAATGCTATCCTTTGAGGAAATAATTTCTGTTTCATGACAATCTTATTATACTTTAAACTGTCTAATTGTAAAAATACTGAAGCAACTTTTAGAAGTCCCTTAAAAACCATACAAATATAGCCAATATAGTAATATACCTGTATGCCAGTATCCTGAATTATCCAGCTTTTCCCAAACATACCGTCAAAAATATTGATAGAAGGGAACATTGGCTGTTTCCTTTGATCAGTATTTCTTTGATTGAGCTCGTTTCTGGAGCTGCTATCCTGTTTCACTGAACTGTGCCTTTTCCTGAGTCCATACTGAAATACCTTACAGTACAAGCACATTCGAGTATTAAGCATTTTAAGCAAAAGCAGTCATATTTTCTAATAACATTGACAGTAGGACAAATACAAACTTTGAAATGTAATTTGAATTCTTTGTCCATGAGTCAAGTGTTCTTGGTAAGCCTTAATCTCTAAGCCTCAGTTTTCTTATTTATAAAGTGGGGCTAACATCCCTATGCAAATGGGCTTTATTCAGGGTGTTACAAGGTAGGGTTACTTGGCACTCTACATGCTATTAAAGGGTGCATACAACACTGTGGACACCATGGCTGAGACAATCATACAACAACATTCTAAAAACATCAAATTAAACTAGTGAAATAATGTACATATTTATATATATAACATTAAATGGTTTCATATGATTTAGCAAGGACTGTATTTTCAAGCATGCAAAATAAACCTCAAAAAAAAAAAAAAAAACCAGAAGATTCATTGTATCCAGGGACTTCATGAAGCTGCAAACTATACTCTTCACTTTTCCAGCCAACTTTCAGCAAGTGTTTGAGAACCTTTTCTAATGTTTTCTTTCTTCTGTTACTGTTTATGGCATAATGCATGATGCACATATAGGCCCCCTCCGCACCCCCCCACCACCATAGACATTCTTTCTTTCCCTTCACAGCACCTTGAATCTCAGCAGCACTCTGAATCTCAGCAGCATCCTGATCTTCTTCTCTCTCCTGACCATGTGTAGAATCTTGACTTTCAGTGGGTGGTTTCTCTTCTTGAGGCTCTTCATCACTGGGCTGCTGGGACAAGGGGTGTGTGTGTTTATGCAGATTAAAACGTTCTGTTATCAATATATGTCAATAATATAAACATACAGAATACATATTTTTCATCATAAGTCTGAAGACTTTCTCCAACATTATTCCATATCCTTATTCTTCATAAAACTACTCTTCCCACAGAGAGGTCATACTCTAAGACAGTTACCTTCAAGGGCTTTGGAAGCTGTTTTAATTTATGTTGGGAGGAATGTGTGTAATCTCTTATGAATAAACATGGGGAGGAAATCAAGGGTGAAATCTGAGGAGCACAAGATCATCCATCCACACAGAACCAGAATGTAATCCTCTTGGACTTGCCTTTCCTTCATGAGATGCCATGATCATTTTTCAGCATGGGAGACCTTTATCAGCATATGTACACTAGTTCAATAAGACTATCACAACTAGAAATTTCTGCTAACAGAAAACATGGAATCTTAAGGCACTAATGAGCATAAGCCCAATCAGTTCAGGAAACTGTAAACTTCCTCTTGGTCTAGGCTTATATGTTGATCTTCCTTGCCAACTCATATTTCATTCTGCTAACAGAACACTGTGATTGGGAAAGTGCACTTGAGAGGATTGCTGTATTTGACCACTTCCATCGCCATATGTAAACTTGTAATTTTATTAAAATTTGGAAATACTTTGAAAGTAAGTCCCAGGGCAAGTTTAAGGGTGTGTGCCTTCTGAATCGAATGCTTGCAAAGCCACTTAAGGTGGTCAAGGTAGCAGTGTCTTAAGGCTCCTGACAAAAGACACAGGGTATTTCTGATGAGGTTTAGTTTCACAACTGGACTTTACATAGTGGAGACATATAGGAAAATACAGCTACAGAATTAAAATTGGAGTGAACACAGCTTTCATTACACATTCGTTAGCTAGGCCCATTTTCCCTCTAAAATCAAGTTTTGCTGAAATGCATAACCCAGCCCATTCGAACATCCATGGGGGAGTTGAAGTTGCCACACGGCACTGGGCACTCCTCACTGGACACCTATGTGGGTACTCTACAGACCTCAGGGCTTGGGTCACCAGCCCACAGCATTCCCACTTCCCAGGCCTGTTCCTTCCCGCCCACCCTGCCCCTTCCTCATTCCCCACCGAGGAGTCTGGAATCTGTCATCTATTGGGGTTTCCAGCTGCTTCCAAGACTCGGATACCTCCAACATTACCTTCAGCACTTGCCCCATGTTCACCTGAGCTACCTCCACTCTGTGGTCCACCTTACTCATGACGTCTAAGGCCTTCCCCGGCTGAGGCCAGGGACTAGGCTGCCTGAAGCTCAGGAAGTCTGCTGGCTCCTCCTCACACTCACTCACACTACACCTCCTGGGGGGACTGGCCTTCGCACCTACTGACTGTGTCTCAGTAAAGGAGATAGTCTAGACCACAGGACCGCCACTCTCTTACCCTCACAGCTCCGTGGCATTCACCACGTGGTCGAAGGGGCTGACTGGACCATGCCCAGCGAACATGCCCACTGAGGTACAAGGAGCATGCACAGTGAGATGGGTGCCTGCCTTGTAGGCTGTGGTACCCTGCCTCGCTGCATCCTCCACTTCCTCCAAGGTATCCACTAAGGACTCTGGAATCCATCCTTTTTGGGCAGTTAGTTCCATATGCTCTAAGGATTCAAATACCTCAAATAGTGTCCCCCTTCATAACTCACTCCGTGTTCACTAGGCCCTCCTCCCCTCTTGTCCCTCTTTCTTCCCTTATCCAGCACCCCCAAGGGGTGCACCACTGCCTGTTAGGAGGACAACAACCTCAAGACCCTTCCCCCTAGGAGGCTATAGACTGCGCCCAAGGGCTCCTCCTCACCCTCACTCACACTTAAACTTCTGGGACAACTGATCTGACAGCAAGGCACATGGGCAACAAGGGGGTACACACAGAGTCAGGCACATGCAGGGCCGGCCAGGGTTTTCCCGCTGTCCCCAGACCCACATCCACAGGCTGTTTCCAGTAGAAAGAAAATGACTTAAGATATCTTTTTTTTTCATCTCTTGCCAAACCATTCTCAGGGGGCCCATGGAAACCTCTCCACATGAACCTTACGGTCCAGGAAGCTTCTTTCACAACATAGATCACGGAAAACCCTGACAGATATAATTTCCACAAGCATTTGAACAACAGGCACCCCCATCTCTTCTGCTCTCCCTTGTATGGCTACTGCTAGAATCTTGATAAACACCCGTCCCAGGATCCCTTGCAGAGGGTGGTGTGCCACAGCTTCCCAGGTGATGCTAATAATATGCACCTCTTAAAAGATTTGGGAAGTAGAAGTCATTTTCTTATTTTACCCCAAAATGGTCAAAGGTGTGAATGGTCAACATGGGAATGTTTGGGCAGGTGTGAATGGTGAATCTGCAAATGCTTGGGAGGTGTGAATGGTAAATGGAATGTTTGGGCAGGTGTGAGTGGTGAACATGTGAATGCTTAAGCAGGTGTGAAAGGTAAATGTGGGACTGTTTGGGAAGGTGTGAATGGTGAATGCCAGAATATTTGGGCAGGTGTGAATGGTGAATGTGTGAGTGTTTGCAGTGGCTTCCAGATTCTCCTACTAATCATCTGCCTCAGGACTTCAAGGGGCTGATACATTTGGCAGATGTTTCCTGCAGTTGCCTGAACAGGCATATTTCACTGTACTCCAAATCTAGTATGATTTCCACAATATCTGTGTATTTTATGAGACTTGATTATTCTTCTGTACTATTTTTTTACTGATGCTGAACATATATAATTGAATAACAAATGATTTCATGATAAGAAATTTCCAATACTGTAATACTCTCACAAAATGCCTCATTCAAATTGAGGAGGGGTTTTGGCATTTTGTGAGAGTATTATAGTATTGGAAACAGGATGAGAGTGAAAGTGAGAAGTAATTCTTTCTTGGTCATGAACTTAAGGCAAAATAATTCAGGTTTTGAAGTTTTCTCGTCACCGCTCAGTTGCTCAGATATAGACATAATTACATGGTTATTACACTAGTAGAAGAAGCTGGAGTGCTAGCTTATAAAATAGATACGATAACACCTCCACAAGGGCGCTAAAAGTATTTCTATTCATTTGTTAAGGCTGCCATCAAAAACTACCACCGAGTGGGTGGCTTAAACAACAGACATATATTTTCTCACAATTCTGGAGGCTACACGTCTGAGATCAAGGTGTCAGCAGAATTGGTTTCTTCTAAGGCCTCCCTCCTTGCCTTGTAGGCAGCCGTTTTCTCCTGGTGTCCGCCTTAGTCCTCCCTCTGTACGTGTGTGTCATCATTTCCTCTTTTTATAAGGACACCAGGCAAATTGCCTTAAGGTCAACTCTAATGACCCCATTTCACTTAATTACCTCTTTAAAGATCCCACCTATCTCAAATACAGTTACATTCTGTGGCACTAGGAGTTCAGACTTCGCCATATGAATTTTGAGCAGACACAACTCAGCCTATAACAGTATGACTGTTAGTTTTATATTAATACTGTTTATTTTTGAGACATAGTGATTCATTCAAAGGACAGAAGCAATCTGCTGGAAATTATCAGAGGTTCCCAAACCCAGTCTACCGGTGTCTGCCCTAGCATTCTCTGTTGCCCTTCTACATACAACGCTCTTAACTGAAGCCAGCCCCTCACCTCAGCTCAGGATCCATACCCCCCACCTTCCCAAGGGCTTTGCTCCTGCAGTGATAACTCCCCTCTCCTGAACCATCAATGGCTCCCTCGATATCGGATCATTCCCGAAGCTAAGGGGGAAGCTCACCTTCTTCTCCCATGTCCTTCTGTAGCTACTAACATGTTTATCTGCTGCCCTTCAAAGGAAAACTGCCACAACTTATACAACTGACTTCATTGGAGTCAATTTTCAAAATTATCTAGAAAGGAAAATGAACCAGAACAGCCAAAACCATTCTGAAGTATAACTTTGGGGAACTCACACTACCTAATATCAAGAGTCACGTTAATTCTATAGTAATCCAGAGAATGTGGTACGGGGGGAAAAGAATCAACAGATCAGCAGGGAGTCGAGCAATGGACTCACAGACATGATAAACTGATTTTCAGAAAAGGCGCAAAGGCAATGGAGAAATTATCTTTTCGAGAAATTGTCTTGTTTTACTCCTACTACTTGGCCACCACATTCATTGTTTTTATCCCCCTGGGTCCCTTCTCTGTGTTTCTCCTTTGCATTTCAGCTGCTCTTCTGTTGAAGGGTCTTCTGTAAAGATGTCCCACCTCCCGCCGCCACCAACAGTGTGACAGCCTCCACAGCAAGTACCACGTGTTGTTGGTTGGTCTCCTCATTTCCAGCATCCAAGACATTTCCTATAACATGGCAGTCATCAATGCATATCTATTGAATTAAATTATCAGTCTTTTGTAATGACCCTAACAGAAAAGCATCCCCTCTATTTAGGAGTCATTATTGGATATGGTATGTTTCTAGGCACCTTACATATGGTTTTGTGTCAGACACTATAGGGCAAAGGCTCTGCCATGGTGTCTTGGAGATCTTGCAGGTCACCACATAGGACACGTAGGCAAAGCCAGACTGCAGGCTAACCTGAGTGTTGGAAGAATATCTGGATTCCTTTTGTTGCAAGGAGATACAGGAAGTGTGGTAGGAGCTGCCACAGGTATTTTCTCACCAGCTCCCTATCTGGTTGGAGGTTGACACAAGACCATTCTTTATCCATTTCCCTAGTTTCCGTTAAATACGGGCCTTTCCTCATCTTAGGGTACAACTGTGGAGTATAAAATTGCTCACTGCCTTGGGGTACAGCTGTGGGCTCCTCACAGGCAGAGAGACCCATCTGTGCTGTCATTGTATACCTCCGATTCAGTGTCATACTGTGGGACTAGGGACACAGTGCTGACACAATGCTGACCTTGCTTTTACTTTGTCTGCAATCAATCAACCATTTGGATCCATTTAGGCTCATTTTCTTATTGGCCAAATCTACGGATGTGTGACAAGCCAAACTAACAACTGCAGTGGTGATCCTTGTGACCCTGCTAGCTACCCCAGGGCTGCTTAGGGACTGCTTGAACACTTGACACACTATTGTGTTGTGTGGTATTGGCTGATCAGAAGGACTTATTCTTCATGGCATCACACACAGCAAAGCACAGTGTTCGGCACATTCTATTGACTTAGGGTTGGCTTTGTCAGACTGCGTTTATTTACAAACCAACTTTAGAATTGATGCCATGTCTGACACCAGCTACCCCGGTTTTTAATTAACATATTTATTTATATTAAGTAAGTCTCAGAAGTCAAATTCATTTAAAAAGGTAACTTGGGGGGCGGAGCAAGATGGCCGAATAGGAACAGCTCCAGTCTCCAACTCCCAGCGCGAGCGACACAAAAGACCGGTGATTTCTGCATTTTCAACTGAGGTACTGGGTTCATCTCACTGGGGAGTGCCAGACGATCGGTGCTGGTCAGCTGCTGCAGCACGACCAGCGAGAGCTGAAGCAGGGCGAGGCATTGCCTCACCTGGGAAGCGCAAGGGGGAAGGGAATCCCTTT